AAATACTCTGTTTATTCAAAGAAAAGCAAGTACGTGCTATATTATCTTAATGCAAACGAAAATAAGAATAGATATTTGAATAAAAAAAAATATGTCGTAGTTTTGCGCATAATTAAAAATGAATTCTGTCTAAGTTTAATTTTGTCTATAACATATGTAAATAACGTGTCGTTGTATTGTAAATGTTGATAACTTTTCTATCTATATGATTATTCTTAATTATACCAGTTACTCTCTTCTACATATCAGATACTCGATAATATTAGGACTGAACTGATCAATCATCAAATAGAACCGAAGTTAAGACTGTCCAAAATGATCAAACTATATGGATAGAAAATAAATAACACAATATGTTATAACACAAGCTCGAAATCAATTTATTAATGAAAAAGTAATTAAATCAATGGGAATCGTATTAACGAATATAATGATAATAGAAAAAGAAATTACAATGAATTTTATACGATTATTAGCAAGGAGTTCATATAATTATCTTATTTAGGTATTAATTTGTACATGTCACATATAAGATATATGTATAGAATATCTATTTCATCTAGTAAGATCTGGTCTGATAAAATATCATTATATAAACTATATACACAATAAAAAAATATTGGACATAGCGCCAGTATTGTAAAGAACAACATATTAAACCTGTTGTTTTCGTTCGATACGATGACGAAGGATTGTCTTAAAGACAATGGCGCAGATGACTTTTTTTTTCAATGAATTTATTGTTATTATCATCCTACTAGAGTATGGATGTAGGCGTGGGCATGTTTGTAAGTATATAGAAGACTGATAGGTTCACTGACATCCATGGACACCCATATCCACGCTAGTTTTTTTTTTGACTTTGTTTTCGTTTTAGTAACAAAATAAAGATGACTGTGGTGTTAAATATGATGACGAATATAGGTTTTCATGCGATTTTGAGCTCAACAGAGTTAAGGTTCATAGTTTTCAAAGGTTTCGCTCAATGAAGTCTTTGTATCAAAAAGAAGGACAAGACGGAAACATCTGAGTCTTGTAGAATTTTATAAAGAAAATATTTGTCTATTGAATGACCCTTTCTCAATTGGAAACTTATTAGTGCTTGCCTTATAGGGTCATTAGTTTTTCAACGATTTTGCGAAGAAATCTTCTTGATATGTGTCGGTCAAGTTTTTCAATCTTCTGTGTTGAAATAAACAATCAGTGTAATTTTTTATTCAACCTTTTAGATTTTCTATGTTCGGTTCTCTTCCCACTATTGAAAGCCATTTAAAAATTCATAAAAACTTTTTTGGATCAATATCTATGATAGTTCTTTTATTTTTGAGGAACTTTTAACAAGTTTTATTTATTGGTCAATATACTTCTTTTTTTATAGATCAGTTTCGTTACAAGAAACTTTATTGCTCATACACATAAATGATTTAAGTCTTAATCATGTTCTTGGTCAACATCGATAACTCATTTGTGTAATGAAGTATGTGCAAAAATCTACTGAAGATTCAGATAGATTTCTTATTGATAGAATTGTTAAATTATTATCATAATTAGAATTTAATAAATGTCAAGTGAGTTTGTTTGAAACACATATTGCCTCATTTGTAGGATAATGCAAAGCACAACACACATACGAAGAATACAGAAAAAAGCGTGCACGTCAGAGAGAACTTCAATTTATCAATATATTGTTAGTATTAACGTCATTATTGGTACCGTTGAAGTACGTTTAATATTCATTTTTTTCTTACTTTTAACTGATGTTGAATCACCAATGAGAAACGAGAAACTTGTTCCATATTGTTTTAAGCTAATTATACCGATTTCGTATAAACAATATTATTATGTAAACTTGTGCGAACAATATCGAACATCTATTAAAATTACCGTCAATCAGAATAGTTTCACAATTACACTATATTTTCATCAATGATTAATGCATTAAATCATAAGTGTACTACCCATACACATGCAATCAATACCATGATTAGTTTTATACTATTTGATTTCATTTACAACGATTGCCTATATTCCAATGGTATTCGAGTTTTTTTTTTCATTATCAATACCAATGTGAATATCTTTGTTGTACAGCTGAATATAATGTAATCAATGATCATAGTGTTGTTGACGTGCGCTATTGCAACATGAATGCTCATTACCATTTTCTAATAATTAATCAAAGAAATAAAGTAGAGATATCATAATTTTTGTGAAACAAAGAGTAGAAAACAAAAAAGTATCATATCATCGATCATGAATAGTGAAAGGAATCCTAGTGCATTGAGCCATGATGCAATATAAATCAATAATACATGAACTAGAAGAAGAAAAGAAAATGCATGTATGTAAGAGAATAGATATATAGTAGTTATTCGCAAAATCGGCATCGTATGAATCGAACAAGAAAAGAGAGTTCAGACATTCATTTTCGATTTGTTGTTAGATATACTTCTATCTATTTAGCCGCGTTTTTGCGTAAAAGCTCTCTCCTCTTTCGCAAAACAAATGAACGACAACTATCAATAGCTGCCTAGAAAGAGCCCGTCAGTAGCAAAATGTTTTTTTTTTCGTATTTTTTTTGCGTATTAAGAAAGAGAACATTCATGAATCATCTCAAAGGTTCGATACGTATTATATGAGTGTAGAAAAAGCTCATTCACTGACTCATACTCGACATATAATAACACCTCATTTCTACTTGTACGATTCCATTGACAAATTAACATCTCACCAAACTTATAGACTTGTGTTCGAGTTACAAGCGAGTAAAATTCTCTTTTTAGAAAAATTGATAAACAGGATTTTTATTTAAAAGAAAAAATCTTGAAGATTTTTATCAATATACTATTGTGGCTGGATTATCTATGTTAAATATCACACTATTAAAATACAAATGAATAAAAATATAAAGAAAATAAAATAGGATAATCTTGTATTTGTTGATTTTATTGTTATTTCTTAGGTCCATTTTTATTCAACCCACATGCTTTGTAACATGAATCAATACCTCTGGTTGGTGTTGTTGGAAAGTTTTTTCGTAATTGATCGATTTGATTTTGTGTTGGGCTACCAAAACTCGCCGCTAATATATCTAAAGGTAATGCTTTAATGCCTTCTGTTAATTGAGCAGTACCAGGATCTGCAGAATTAAATGCAGCAACAACAATAGCATCATCACAACCAATATTTTGTTCAAAATGTAATGCTCCTGGTGGAAATGTCGTACCTTGGCCAGCATTTAGTGTAATAGCATGAAATTCACCTGTATTTTCACTCCATGAACCAGTTCGAATAGTTCCTTTAGCAACATAAGAAATAGTTGATGCACGTGGATGAATATGAGGTAAATTCAAAGCACACGGTTTTAAATAAACAACAACCATAGAAATACCGTGATTAATTAATGCAGGCCAATTTCGAGCCTAAATACCTAATTATTTAATGAAAAATTTTAAAACAGATATAAACTTACAGTTGCTGCAGCAGTTAATCCTCCATCACCGTATGTAAATCCAACACCACTTCCATTTGAATAAGTAAATATAAAATCTTTATAATTTGCTGCATCATTTTCTAGTTTAGCTTGGAAACATAAGTCACTTACAGAACTCTTCACACTTTCAGAAAAGTCTTGACGTGGTGCACATCGTGGATCATTTAATTCACTGGCAGCAAACGAAATCAAAATAATAATGCCAAATTGAATAATATGGATACCGAATCGAAACATAATTTCAATATGATTTCGTCAAATGAACTTTACTTTGTAATTCACTTCAAAGTCTTAGATAATGGTTATGAATATTGCAGCATACTATACGTTCCTTATATAGTAATAGAAGCGTTAATAAAAAAATATCCAACACGCAATTCCGACTAGCATGTACAGTATTGTGAGATTTTTCTCATGCTATTCGGTCGTCAAATAGTACGCCATTCTGTGTATACACACCAGTAAAATGTATAAAAGTAGAAATATTCACACAATGAATGCTTTAATTCACCGTCATGTGTCATATAAATTAATGATATAAATATATGATAATATAGGTGATTCAAATAAGGTAAAAATAGCGTTCGTTGCGCGTCAATGAAAAAGTGCAAAGTATTGGTCATGCACTGTCATAAGAATGCATTTAATATTTTATTTTTAGTCGATTATTCTTCATGCTTGGTATTGATCGACAGACATAATTTTGATGAGTGTGACAGGTATTAATCTTTTTTATTGATATTTTCATGATAGAATTCTGCTTTTACTAAGCAATATACTAAATTTTAATATGGCATATTTCAATAAAAGAACGAAATTTTCTTGTCAAATATTAAAATCAAGAAAAATTACAGCAAGTCTATTCAAGTTAATAATAAATAATTATGATAGAACGAGTTGTATTATTAGTAAATTGCTATCGTTGATTTGTTTTTTTTCCTACAATTTACATTCATAACTAGATTTTATAAAAAGAAAATGCCTTGATCTGTCTGAAACAATATCTTTTAGTTGAAGATTTCAAAAGAAAGATCTTTCTAAAATCAAATCTATTCAATTAGTCATTTTCACAAAAACAAAATCAGTAATAAATTGTATTTGGTCATTGATTTTAGTAACTCATTACGAACTAACAATTAATTAGAGAAATTTTTGAAGATTTGTTCAATTGAGAAACAAATTTAGTTTTTACAAATGTTTCAACATGGATTTGACAAAATTGAACAACATTTAAAAATAATTGAACTTAAATTCATATTCATATTTATTTATTTCAAAAGATGTTTTTGATTTTATAAATAATTTCACATACGTCTTCAGATCAAGTAATTTTCTAACCAAAACTTTTTCTGTTGTATTTTCAATGACATACAAATCAATAACATCTTCTCTTATAATAATCGAAATATAAACATGAGAATATAATAATCAATTTTTCGAAATCGACCAACAATAAAGAGTATCATCATAATAATAACTTATGATAAATTGTTAATGATATTTTTCATACTTTTTCTTGACGTAGATGGTAGCTGAGATTTTTATCACATATATATCAAATTAGAATCTTTTATTTTCTGAAAATTTCAGCTCTCTAACTACAACTTAGCGGTGAAATACATAAATTTCAATACTAGATTTTTCCATTATTTTATGAAAATAGCTCAAAAATCGAGTATCAAAAAGAAATGTATTTCAATCTTGTTGACTGATTCCGAAAAATTTATCATTATATTCTCATGTATGTATTTTTATTATTATAAGACAAGATATCATTTAAACGGCTGTCATAAGTACTGAAAGCTCATTAAAAAATACATTCAACTAAGGACTATTCTCTGTCTATACATAGACTAATTTTATTACGCCTGAAATCTTATGAAACATTGCGAGTTCATATTTTTCAGTAAGAATAAATTGTCAAAGAAAAGAAATAATGATGTATGTTGTTTCTTAATTGCACACGTTATTCAAACAATTTTGACTTATTTGAGTAAAGATGTATGTATGGCATAATTGAAAAAAAGAAGCAAATTAATGTCCAATTTTTAAAAACCGATGATTGTTTATTCCGATTGAAATATAATTTATAATAAGTTTTTTAAAACATCTAAAATGAAGGTATAAATTCGACGTCATATAATATCGTCGGTTATTTTCGTTACAAAACGTTTAAAAAAAAAATAGATATCTATATATAACAATTTATCTTATCATTTGAGTACGAAAAACATTATTCTCTTTCATTTCTTATCAAAAAACTATTTAGTCTTCATACTATGATAAAAGTCACGCTAATAGTTGGATTTTTATATTTTGTTACTCTTGTTAATAGTAAATCAATCGTGCCAATCCAAGACTATACTGTGAAAAGGAAAGTAATATACACACCGGTAAATAAATTTGTTCAATCACTAGGTTTTTTTTTCCTCAATGAAATTTTTCCTTCGTACAGAATGCACCAGTACCTGTAGCACCATTTAGTCAAGGTATTCAAATAAATTATATGTTATATCTCGCTGGACAAATTGGAATAGATCCAAAAACTAGTCATATGATATCAGATGATATTCATAATCAGACATATCAAGTGTTAAGAAACTTAGAAGCAGTCTTAAATGCTACTGGATCTTCAGTTGATCAATTAGCTCATTGTCTTATTATGTTAACAAATATTGAAGACGATTATGAAATAGTTAATCAAATTTATTCACAATGGTTTAAATCACCTGAATTTTATCCTGCACGATCATCAATAGGTGTTGTTAAATTACCATTTGATGCTAAAGTTGCTATTGAATGTCAAGCTTATACAACAAAAGAAATCTAAGCAATCAATGATTTTTTTTGTTTTTAAATAAAGATAAATTACTCTAAGAGAACAATTCTTTAAAAGTTTTTTTTTTTGTATAGTTAACTAATTGATTCAATAACCCTTAGTACCTAATAATCAACTATACATGTCTTAAAAAAAGAAAAACAACATTTTAGAACTACTAATTTGTTCTCGTAAAACTAATCATAGAATAAACTTTATCATATGCCCGATGTTTATATAAATTGACTTCTTCGTGGACTCGTTGAGAGAAAAGTGAATTAAAAGATGTGATTGAAATTCTATGAAAGATTTTTTATGAAATATTTTTTCAGATTTCTCAATCGTACACACAATTGCTTTAATTCACTTTGATCGTTTTTTTATTACTACAGGTTACATTCGTATACGATACAATTTTCTCTTTAATTTGGATGCGTGTGGATGTAGACATCGATTAATACAATATAAACTCGTACTCATTTTCTTCTGATAGATTTCAAATATATTCTATACTATGATTAGATAAAGCCAATTGTTTCAGTAAATTTAATTCATCTTATGAAATCATTTATTTTTATCAAATATTTGAACAAGTTTTACTCACAACAGTAAATTTATTCTTTGTATTAATAAAAAACAAAGTTCTCTATTTGAATCACGATTTTTTGTAATATAATATGTCGTATTTATAAGACAAACATTTATTTTTTTTTCTTTTTTGTCGTCAGAAAACTCGTCAAGTAGTTGTGTAATTACAATGATTCATTTGTTTTCAGCATTTCATGAATAATCTTGGTAAATTGAATTCGTTCTTTTTCATACCTTGTCTATAAAAGTATGGTTTGTTGACTTCCATGGGTGATGCATTTCAATACTTTTCTTTTTTAAAAAAATGTTATAACAACAAAAACAGCCATACACTTGCTATTTTTTTTTACTATTCGAAAGAGACGTGTTAGGTAAGTGAAAATTTGTTAGTCAATCTAATGATTTTTTCATGTAGAACTCGATCGAAAGTTTTGCGAACAAATCATGAGTACCATTGAATACAATATGAATAGTGTAGACACTTCTCTTTCGATCTATGCAAAGCAGAACCTGTCCAGGTTACTCTAGGAAGAAGTGATAATCGAAGTCTTGATTCTGATATTCTTTGAATTAAAATTTTTATCAAAATGCTAAGCACAAATTAGATTATGTTCATAAGTCAAAATTATTTATTCAATTCTATTTAAATAATAGTTTATTTTAAATTTATCAACAAGAAGATATTCTTCAAATAATAGGAGCACGCGAAAACAAAAGAAGAAAAAAAAACATTCCAACACTCAAGACTATAATATATGTGCTTAACTTCTTTACTTTTCAAGCGAGATCTTTCATACATTGTGAATCATTTTATGATCATCAATTTATTTATATAAAAATGAGAACATTATAATTAGTTTTTAGTCAGGATTTGAGTCTTCATACATGCCACTAAAACTGATATCAAGACTGAGAGTACGAGAAAAAAAAATATTTTGAAATCAGAAAGAAAGTTTATAGTAAAATATTCGATGATTTTTAATAAATTATCTTACAAAATTTTTATGAATAAGATTATCATTCAAGTGAAAAGCTCAACATAGTATTATTCAGTGACTAAATCAATAAAAAAAAAACGCTATTAATGATATCTACTCTTAAGATTTGAATTGTTGACAAAAACAAATAATACTTGAAGTTATTTGTCAACAAGAATAAAGTTTCTAAACAGATCATTATTTTTATTTTTGTTTTTAATTTTCTTTTTATATGCAAGACTAGGACAATTAATGTTCTATTTTTCTATAGTATTTGATCATTATTCAGCAAATGTCATAATAATAGAATTTCGATAAGACTTATTTTTCTGTTATATGTGACGTTTACACTAATGTTTATTTAAAAGGTAGATTTGATATTTTTTGAGTAACTTTCGAAAGGAAAAAGATAGAGAATTGTTAGTTTCATTGTTTGAAAAACAAGACAAAAGATGTATCGAGTCATATATTAAAAGTTTTTCTAGTATGTTGTATGAACTTTATTTAATCGCTTTTCTAAGCGTAGAAAAAAAATTTTTTTTTTTCATAGAAATGGCTAGAAAAATAACTTCGAACTTCGACTAGAATACCTATAACTTTTAAATGATTAATTCTAAACATTCAAAAATCATATTAGAAAAAAAAGTATATAATTTACGATTCGATGTATTTTGATCTCCTCTTTCAAATAATGAAACTCGCAATTCTCTGTCGCTTTTCGTTTGAAAGTTACTCAAAAAAATATCTAATCTATCTTTCAAATAACCATTATTGAAACCCTTCATATGACACAAAAATAAGTCTTGTCGAAATTTTATTATTATGACATTAGCTGATTAATGATCAGATATCATAGAAAAATAGAGCATTATTTGTACTACCCTTGTATATAAAAAGAAAGTTTAGTTTGATTTTAAAATCTTATTTTTTCTGTCTGTGTAAACATGATTTCTCGATTCAAATGTATTTGAGTCAGAAGTAGTAATGTGATGTTTTTCTTTGCCCCACGAGTCGACTCTTGGAGCGCATGAAGAAAAAGATTATTTACTGTTCAAAAAAACAAAAAAAAAAGAAAGAAATAGTAAAAACCCACTAAAATGTGCAATTTACAAATATAAAATCAAAAAACAAGGAAGAAACAATAAATCAGTTTGACATATTTACTAGAGTAAGATATATGTCTAGAGGCAAGTATTTCTGATTAAAAAAAAATAGAAATTTCTACGTGCTTGGTTTGATGAAATTACAATAATATTATTTCATTACACGACTTCTTCATTCAAAATAAATGAAAACAACATTGAAAAAATGTTTTAACATTCACAAATATTGCTATTTAAAAAAATGAACGACAAGCTAATAATCTTAATTTTCTTTCTTACTAAGACAATGAATTTTCATTATTCTTGTTTTCATTTAATTTTTAAACTAGAAATAAATACGGAACAAATTCATCACCAATTCTGGTTATTTAATCATTTCTCAATGATTCATCATCGTCATGACATCCTTGAACAGAATCCCACGTATAATTACATTATATTTTTAACACAGCGGACATTTTTTTATTTGTGTTTGCGCTACTGCATTAAGTGGCACAGGTGGTGGAGAATGATTGATAGTTTCAATTCTATCACAAACACCTTTATTTGCTAAACTCTTTTTTTTTTGCAATAATTTTCAAACCAATAACAAACTGCTTGTCTATAGTTTCAAATGTTTTCATGTATTCTGAGAAACGCATTTAATCTATGTGGTAAGTAAGCTTATCACCCCAAACTCCACATCCCTATTTGGAGCATTACGCCATGAACATCTCATATTTGGTTACATTTAAAGAATATCAAATATATTAAAGCAAATTATTTTTGTTTTTTAAGATAAAATCTTTTGAATAAGATCTGATTTACAAAAGAAAAAATTACATGAACAATTATGTCTGTTAATCAAATAATGTTTATATTTATTTATATATTATTTATATTAAAAATAAATACGATTTATGGTTTCGATGCTGGCTTTATACAATTAGCATCAGCTCGTCAAGAAAATAAAGATACAACACATTATGGCATGACGATTTGTGCACTTTGTCGTGTAACACTTAACTTTTTAAAATCAACATATAATGTAGATACAACATATTTAGATACAAAATTTGATGAAACTAATGGTCAATGTGATGGAAATATTGTTCGAAGTATAATAAATTTATTAAGAACTTCTCAAATGAAAGGTATTAATCCATGGTTATATTCAATTACAGTTAACACAATAGCTTCAGCAAATACAAAAACAGATTTAAAAGAAATGTTTAAAGAAGCAAGTCATTTCGATAGTGAATCATTTATTGGTGGATCAAAATTAATTATGAAACGATATCAATCAACATTAGATGCAATTAGAAAATCAGATAATTATGATCAAGGACGTAAAACATTCGGTGAAATGTTACATACCATACAAGTTAGTATATTTTATTGATTTTATTTTTTATTAATTAATTAATTAATTAATATATTTAAAGGATTTTTATAGTCATACAAATTATATTGAACTTGAATATACATCACCAAGTGATGTTCTTGGTAAAAGAATATTTCAAGGAAATGAATTTGCATCAATTGAAACAAAAACATGTATTAGTTGTGATGATGAACAATGTCAAATAAATACAAATTTTGATCAAATAATACAAAAAACAAAATTACTTACAAGTGGTTATTTTATACCAATTGGTTTTAATTTATTAAGAAAATTTAAACCAAAAGGAAAATGTTCACATGGAGGGTCTTTTGATAGTACACAAGATGATGAACCAAGAGGTGGTATTAATAAAGATAAATTAAAATCTATTCATGGTCATTTACATTATCAAGCTGCTAGTATGGCTTATAAAGCTACTGTTAATATTTTAACACAACTTCAACAAGATATTGGTGATGAATCTTTTGGTTTATTTTTAACATTAAAAAAAAATTTAAATAGTCTTATTATATCAATTGATACATCATGTTCAATTGGTAATTATGTTGATTTAGCTAAAGATATATCAACTAATATTATTAATCAATATAGTAAATTAGAATATGCTCCACATAATTATATATTAATATCATTTAATAATAATTATGCAAAGATAATTATTAATACTCGTAAACCAAATAATTTAATTGATGCTATACAAAATTTAAGTTCATGTGAAAATTATACTTCAATATTAGGTGGAATGTATTATAGTAGTCTTATTGAAGGATTAATACAATCTGAATATTCATCTGTTATTTATACATTTACAGATTCAGCAGCAAGTGATAGTTATTTAAAATATAAAGCACGTGCTTTACTTCGAAATAAACATATTGTTATTTATTCATTTTTGGGTCAACAAATGAAAAGACTTTTACTTAGAAAAAAAATTGATCGTATTGATCAATTAGATGAAAATGATGATGATGGTAATGATTTACCATCGATAAGTGGTGGTTTGACATATCCTATTACTACTAATGATCGATCTGTTATTTTGGAATTTATACTTCGTCGATTAGAATGGACAAGATTACAAACTTTGGTTATTTTTAAATCGAATGCAACAACAATTACATTTTATGTTGATTCATCAATTGATGAACTTCATATTGATATATCATCAACAGGTTAATAGAATATTTTTAATATCTTTTTTTTTAATTTTTTCTTTTTGTCTAATGATTCATGTATAATTATTTAAGGTAGATGATAATATTTGTCGTGAGACAAACTTTTGTCATTCAATCTGAGGTCGAATATTTTTTTCTTGAGTAGATTTGTCTCGGATGACTGGCGACTACCTTTTCTCTCGTTCTTTCGTTTCATAGTTGGAAACAAAGAATAATCTTCTTCATATCTCACAATTCGGATATCATGGTTATATGATAAAATATTTTCTTGTTTCGGTTTCTCGTATTTTATACACTGTTTTATTTAACAGACAGCTCAATTGGTAGGTATTGTTGTCAAAATTTAATAAAAGTTTTCAGACTGTAGATTTAGTCCAAAGTCCAATCAGACTCGAATCAGACACTGATATACAATCAACAATGGTTTAAAAAAGAAGTTCATCAATCTGATTTTGTGAACTATAATCTGAAAGGATTGTTAAAATAAATCAGATATATAAATTCGCACTTCCTCTCTTCTATCACAGACCGTTTATAGTTGAAGTAATTTTTTTGTAGGTACAATAACTGATATCAACCAAATTCAATTGCTTACACCAAATAATTCAGCATATCCACTGAGTACAAATCTTATTAATACAGAACATTTGTATATGTGGAAAATTTTACAACCAAGTGTTGGTGCATGGCGTTTAACAACATCACAAATTTCCCAAGTATATAATTATAATGTTCAAATTCAAGGTAAATCAAGTATTGTATGTTCATCTAGTCTGCAAAAAGACATGGAAGGAAATGTAGATAGTAATGGTTATACAGAATTAACAACAGAACCTCTTATTGATTCTGATTTATTGATTTTGACAACATGTGAAAATGTTAATTTTACTTATGCTAATATTTCTCTTATTAATCAATCTGGTCAAGTTATCGAAATTTATTCGCCGTTGAAAATAGATCAACTTGATATAGTAACAAAAATTCGTGTTCCTCAACAAGCATTTCGAATTCAAACAATAATTCAATTATCTGATGGTACTCGAATTCAACGTATTGAAAAACAACTCATTTCACCAACAATGTTTACTATTGAATTACTAAATCAACCATATATATTATCAATTGGCGAAACAATTCAAATGAATTATACTTTAAAAAGTTCATTATCTGAACAAGTTAATATACGTTTACAAATAAGAGATACATTGAATTTAATTGATTTTAATGGTACTGATAAAAATTTAACATTCACTAATGAAACATCTCAAATGGATTTATTTACATTACCAGCAAATTTTCAACAAAACTCAATAAGCGATATGATTATATTTACGTTGTCAACATACAATAGTAAAACAAATAAATTTTCATATGCAAATGATGAAGTAGCACTTGTTTATTTCGATATAAACTCATCTTCAATTTCGCGAACAACTTTTTATTTTATTTTTTTCTTCTATCTCTTGGTTTTCTTTTTATGAAACTGACTTAGAAATAAATCGTATTCTAAGGATTACACATAATTGATTATTTTCGTTTTTATTCAATATGATGAGTATTGAAGGTTAAACGGTGCACGATGTCTTTCAATATTTCCTTATTTGAGAAATGCTCAATGCCTTATTCGAACACTGGCTACCAAACGTATTTAAAATCGAATTCTTCTCAGTCGAAATACTTCAAATTCGAATTGAGAAATAATAAAAACGTTTCGAGGGATCAATGATAATCTCAGTCAAAGTCGAATTCTGGATCAAACTAAACGGAAGACTTTGATCAATCGTTTCGTTGTTCCAACGATTCCAATTGACGAACGTCTTCCTCTTTTAGAAAAAACGAAGTGTCTGAAGTGTTTTAATCGAATTCCGTATTGAAATTTCTATAAGTTCTCTGTATCAAACAGATTTGACAATCTTCAACCAAATCGAATTCTTTTGATGATCATTTCAGTTGTTTTGAACGAAGAGTCAACGAGCTTTTCTCAGGCTAAGAAGGAATTCAGGTGTTGCGACTACTATGCGAATTTTATCAAATGAAAACATGATACATTTCCGAAGTTTCAACAATATCTACACGAATCTCAAAGATTGAAGTGCATTTATCAAAAGAGAGACAAATGAAGTAAAGAACAGTGAGTTACAAGTTTTTGAAGATATTATTCGTCAATCATTATCTCATTGGCGCAATTCTAACCAGCTGAAAACATCTTTTTTGTTGACTTTGAATTTTATAGAACGAGAAACTAGATAAATCCTTTATTTATTTTTCTTCAGTAGAATGATAAGATACCGATGATGACGAGAACACGTAAAAAAGATGCAATACGTGTTGAGTGATAGACAATGGCGAGAGAAAAAAAGGAACAAAAAGCAGTCTTATATATCAATTGTCTTATCTTTGATATTTTCTCTTATAAATATACAACTCAAACATCAGTGCAAGTATGAAATGGTAATTGTTCATCGCATTACTTTGTCTTGGAGTAGCATTTGTTCAAGGAACATCGCTGACATGTGCGCCTATTTCCTAGTGTGAGAAGTCCTGCTCACACGGTTTTGTCATAACAGATCCCGTAAATAAATGTCATAAATGTGAGTGTAATTCGTGTCTGTTCGGCCAGCCACTTGATGTACCTTGTGGACAAGGCCAAAACCAATGCGAAGCGAAACTTGGACAGAAATGCTGCGGTGACTCAAAGCGTCAATGTCAAAATGCTACGTTCTCTTGAAGTTGTAAGTTTAAAGTCGAGCAAAATGGATCATGTTTAGAATTTATGATGTTCTATAAATGATCTTCGAATTTCATCTAAATAATAAAAAGACAAATCTTACACTGTGCTCATACTACTACGGTATGCGTGCATAACTCGCTACAAAATGATTAAGCTTTGTGGTAAGAATGTGTCTCTGATCATGATTAACTCTTTGGTCATGTAACAACAGCACTGCGAATAGTGAGATACAAATTAGTAGATACTTCCACTACTTCGCATTACACTTTCAAAATTGAAAGTTGAAATAGTCGCTATTTTCTCTTTGAATAACCATGAATGTAACTGATGCATTTTAAGATTGAATCGATGAATTAGTTTCAGATCTATTAATGACTCGTTTTGGTCGACTTATTACATTTTAGTTTCAGGTACCAAGGATCTCCTATTCTCATTTCTATCCGGAAGCTATTTCTTTTCTAATATTGTTCATATGTCCTTGCGAACGCCCATTTCT